ATAAGGTACCAGGCGATAACCAGGGTAGTTGATCGATAGCTCGATGACGTCATTTCGTTGGCGTCTGCAATGGAAAATTATTATAGCAGGCGTTGACGATGGGACGTTGTCGAGTTGTTGAATAGCAACTATCGTGGTAACTCACCGATTACCTGTCGATCTGCCAAATTTGGAAAGACGTCTGCATTGAATTGTCTCATATAATAATATTCCGCCCACTATATCACAAGAAATTGCGAGTAGCTGAGTGGAATGGAGATAAGTTAAGCATTGGGTACAGGACCAAGTCTCCCCTGGGTGGTGCAAAAAGATGAGCGCAATAGAATCATCAAGTTGCCATAAGGCACGGAATGAGACTATTGCATGGCTGGGTAGTCAAAGTCTTCCATTCGGTAGTCATTTCAGGTGGATTAGAACAGGTTTAGGTTTAGGGTGGGCGTTGGCCAGATTTGGATTTTTCAGATGTAATCCTGGATAGGTCCCTGTCATTGAACGCAGCGTGAAAGTGGAACTTAATGAAGGCCTAAGTACTTTTTCGTAGTTTTTAGTTTTCGGATTTGAAAGATCGCCGGTTACAGTGACCTGCTTACTGAGCAGAAAAACGCGGTCCCAGGTCCTTACATATCAAAGAGATTTATGGTAAAATCGCTTGTGTATCGTGTATTTTGCGAAACTCGTTGTTGTCATTGGTTCCGGGCTTGAATGGATACACAAATTTGAGCAACGGTATTATGTGATATGAAGGCTCGGTGGCCTTAGAGCAACCGTTTTTGCTTACTGAGCAGAACATCATGAGTCGATTGTCGGGATTTTTTGCGATAATCTTCTGTCAGCGTTTTGGCTGGTGGCGCTACGCCATCCGGAAGAATTTTCGTTTGAATTATTTCCAAATGTATAGTCCAGTTCAGTTTTTACGTATTTAGTAACCGTGTTGTGCCAGTGTTAGTGATTTAGACCGTGAAATCAGCATGGAAAGAAAACATTCCCATTGGTTAAACCCTGTTAAGCCGTGCCTTTCTTTTCTGGATACTAATTTGGTGAGCTCGTTCCTTAGTTTTTGTGGTAATTCTATCGTAAATATTTTTTTTAAATCATTAAATACGCGTCAATCAAATTTTGCGCTACTGTTTTATAGAAAGTTTCAGTACATTATCAGCATCGATACTGTACCGGAGCGGGGCTTATTGTAAGCAAAATCTTCGGAAGCATGCGATCTTGAAATGGGCTAATGGGTATACGGTAAAGCTATCACCTTCGAACTCCAGAGTTCAAACTTTTTGCAGTCATAAAAAATGGTTACAGGTAGATTTTATGGCCAATTGTTTTGTTCTTCAGTTTCAATAGTTGGTCTAGGCAATGATCCAATTTTATCAGAATATAGTTTTGTCATAGAAAAAGGTTGTGTTAGATCATGTTCGTAAAACAAATTCATGAAAGAAGGATACATATGTGGTAATATAGTAACAGGTTTCCTAATGACTACTGACTACTGATATTAGGCAGAATATAATTTTTCAACAAACACGTGTCGGTCGAATTAGAATTTATCCCAGGCTACTATTGTAGAAAAACGTAATTGATAGATATTGGGCGGAACGCGTCGGAATGTTTAGAAAAATAGGGCGCACGCTTGATCCGGTTTAAGATACATTGTTGACTGCTTTCGGGAACGTGATTTCATTTTAATAACTTGTTTACTTGTTTAACCATTGAACGTCGCGTGAAAGTGGAACTTAATGAAGGCATCAGTGCTTTTTCGTAACTTTTAGTTTTCGGATTAGAAAAATCATCGGTTGCAGGACAGTGTTACCGATTTATATTGGATAATCCAAAGCTATGTTGATCATTATAACATTACATTTTGAATAACAAATGATAAGACAATCTTATTCAAATGTCGTAATAATACCTCTGACCAAGGAAAAATGATTTATATAGTTTTCATAAAAGTTGACGATACAAATACTAATGAGGAAAGGAATTCCGCATTTCCTTTTCCCAAGTCCTTTTCCTCTCCTTCCCTTCCCTTCTTCTCTTTTCAGAAAGCGAGTAATGGCGCTATAACCATAGAGGTAACTCTAAGACCACTGGGTCCCGAAGAAAATCATTATTATTTTTGGCTCACTCAGTACCAGAACAACGGTCCCAAGCAGTCCCAAGCTATTTCACTCACCCCTGCATGTTCTGCATGAATCCACACACCCCTGATGTTATCTGTCAAACTTTCATAGCGAATCAAAACAAACATAGTGTAGTAATAGAATTTCAACTAGAATAGGGTACGTTAATCGTTTGCTTGGGACCAATAGGCTACTAAAGTGGTGAGCCAATTTAAAATCGTTAGTTTCGTATTGATTGTTGGTAGTAGTGTTGCCATGTAGTACAATACAGTAGTAGCATAGAGGTAACTCTAAGACCACTGGGTCCCGAAGAAAATCATTATTATTTTTGGCTCACTCAGTACCAGAACAACGGTCCCAAGCAGTCCCAAGCTATTTCACTCACCCCTGCATGTTCTGCATAAATCCACACACCCCTGATGTTATCTGTCAAACTTTCATAGCGAATCAAAACAAACATAGTGTAGTAATAGAATTTCAACTAGAATAGGGTACGTTAATCGTTTGCTTGGGACCAATAGGCTACTAAAGTGGTGAGCCAATTTAAAATCGTTAGTTTCGTATTGATTGTTGGTAGTAGTGGTGTTGCCATGTGGTACACTGAAAAATTGAAATAGCAGGTTAGTCACCAAAGTTTTCGAACCGCTCCGTCTGTCACTTCGTTTGTGCTACTACTAGATTGAACTAGCATTTTCACCAAATGTACTAGAATGTTTTTGTTCTATCTCTTTCACTCTACTCAAAACTGAAATGCATAAAAAAAAATGACAAAATGATACGCACTCTTTGCACACTGTCAAAGAATCATTGTACACAAAATCAACTTTGTTCAAATCAAAACAAAAAAAAACTAACCCATCTGGTGGATGATGGCACAAGCTTCCAAGAAAATTCTATTACAGTGAACCACATTATTTAAATGGATTTCTTCGCCAGTTAGTCGTCTGTCACTTCGTTTGTGGCAGTGGTGTCGCCATGTGGTACACTGAAAAATTGCAATAGCAAGTTAGTCACCAAAGTTTTCGAGCCGCTCCGTCTGTCACTTCGTTTGTGGTAATAGAATTTTCTTAGAAGCTTGTGCCATCAGCCACCAGATGGGCTAGTATTTTTGTTTTGAGTTGAACATAGTTGATTTTGTGTGCAATATGATCTTTGACAGTGTGCAAAGAGTATATCATTTTGTAATTTTTTTATGCATTTCAGTTTAAAGTAGAGTGAAAGAGATAGAACCAAAACATTCTAGTACATTTAGTGTTGCCATGTGGTACAATCCATTAGTAGTGTTGCCATGTGGTACAATCCAGTAGTAGTGGTGTTGCCATGTGGTACACTGAAAAATTGCAATAGCAGGTGCGTCACCAAAGTTTTCGAGCCGCTCCGTCTGTCACTTCGTTTGTGCTGGTAGGCTGGTTCATCTCTGGGAGCCCCTGAAGGGTACTCCCCAAGTTGCATAGTTTTTTTAAGCGGTTTGGAAGCCCGGAATGGACTTCCCCTGTGATATGTGGAGTCCAGAAGAGCCTGTTCCATGGTTTGGGTGGCCCTCTAGAAGGCAGTGCCCTGAACTGTCTGCTGTCTATTGGCAAATAAAAGTTGGCACTCGTGGAGAATAGAAGAACTATGAAAGTGATGATGGTTTCAAAATTTTCCACGGGGAGGTATACGAGAGCAATCTTAAAATGCTTTTATTTTGCAAATGGAGTATTTTATTTAAATCTGGTTACTGCTATAGTGGTAGAAAAGCTAAAATCTATGTACCTAGAACGAAATTGGAAAAAGTAGGCAGTGAATTAATTGCTATATAACACAGAATTTTTTTTTTTTAATTAAATAAAATAATACTCATCAAATGGTAAGTAAATTTAGAGTCGTCTTCAATAGAAACATTCCTTTGTTTTGTAACAATCCGTTCAAAAAGGACACGTTATGAACGGGATGTTCTCAATAGGACGGAAATTAGATCAAAAAGCCTATACAACTAAAAATCTGGAAAGAAATTATTTTTTCCTATATTATATGTCTATTGAGTAGCCCTGAAGATTTCTAGATTTCTAGATTTTATTAAAATAATTTGTTCGCAAAGCAAATACATTTCAAGATTGTGTAAATTTTTGAAACCATCCTCATATTTCTTTTATTCTCCACGAGTGCCAACTTTGATTTGCCAATAGTTGTTTGGTATTCGTCGATATTGTCGGGTCATTTTCGTTGCGTTTGTCGGTTGTACGAGTTCTTGTCTGGTCGTGGCATATTTGAATATTTGGTTCGTAATCCTTGTGGGTAGCAGTGGTCGAGGTTTGTGGTTCTTTGCAGATTGATATAGAAACCACCGATAGCAGGCTTCATTGAGGGGTCTACTGTAAGCAATAGTGTCATGTTCAGTTACATTGAACTAACGATTAAATTGCATCGAAGAGGTCGGCTTCTCGGAGGAAACCTTCGAGGGCCGCAGTTCTGGCCGGGTCATTCGCTAAGGCATCCCGGATGCTTCTGGCTATTCCGTATAGTATGCGTGGGCCCTCGTATTGAAGGCAGTGGTAGATGCCATGTTAGAAGGAGTGCTTATAGCAGACTACTAGCTGCGGTCCTGTTAACCCTATAACAACACCCAATCGGGTGACTAAGCCATCGGAGTAGCGGATGGTATGATGTTTATATTTTTTTTCGGTTTGCAGTGTTGTGGTGAGGGATTTGCGAAACTAATCATATTTAAATTGAACGTTAATGCGTGTACGGCGATTGAGGAGAAAGAATTACGTCTGTTTGTCTGTGGTTCCAGCCTCCTTAATGCTATCGGAATAGAGTCAAGAACAATATACAAACCTGTAGGACTGTAGGAGATGAATGCAGGGCGTTCGAAGAATCCAAATTAAAATCAAGCGGTTAAAAACTTCGATATTTTATTCTATACTCAAAAAATTACATACCCTTTCGCAATCGCGCACACTGACTGTTCTCTCATTCTTGCAAGGTTTACGATATCATGCCAAATTGTATATTATAAATTATCATCTTTTTTTTTCTCAGGACCGATTGCAAATTATTTTAGCTGTTTTTCAATTATGTTTTTTCAACAGTTTTGCTTCTTTTTGTATCCGGATGAACGCGGATATGCAGTTCTCGTCGTAAAAAATCAACAAGGGAAATTGTGTCAACAAACAAAGAACCGCCGCGATCTTCAGTGACTGATATGCCTTGCAATTGAATTGGATCGGCCTTGCGTTGCATTAAATAAAAATCCAACGTTAAATAACAAAACTTAGCATCAGTACGAAATCAGCCACTTTCTGTTTTCTTATGGAAGGTAGTTTTTTTTTGTATGTGTGTTTGTTAGACTTTGTTCTGCTGTTATCTGTACGGTTTTTGAGGAGGAATGTTACGATTGATAAGTTTAATACAACATTGCTACGGAAGATTCTAGTTTTCTTCATCATACTCGGAAGTAGCCTAATACTGAGGTAAGGAAAACTGGTTTGTTTCCTTATCGAATATTGTTGGTTTGTGATGCAGATTTTGTTGATTTTTCTTTTGTGGCGACAAAATAGTGATAAAAGTGTAGCTACGCGCGTACTTGCTATTTATCTCTCTGTTTTAAAACAACTTACAGCCTTGCTTCAATGTACGTTTACGTTTTAACTAAATTAACAACCTTGCATTTATTATCGCTGTATCTGGCAAACTCAATCGGGGTTGAGTTGGCTAGAAGGGTTTTTAATTCAAACTTTATAGATATCCTAGGAAAATTTAAATAAGCTTAAAAGAGCAATTGCACACCATCACCTGAATTAAAATAAACCAGACTACCTAATAACTAAATGCTAAGCTCAATCAAATTGAAGTTGCTAGTTTAAAGAAGACGATTTGTTGTTGTTGTTGAAAAAAAAAACGTATTAAGCTCTCTTTCTTGTGCTGATGATAATATTTGATTTTCTGACACCGTTTCACTTCTTCTTTCCACATTGTATATTTCAACTACTGTTGTTTTGCAAACTACTATCACGTGGAGTGTTTTTTTGTTTTGCTAGTTTTAAATGATATATTTTTTCTGTCTCATTCATCTTCATCTTAGTTGAATTTTTCTGCTTCTGTTGTTTTACTTTATAATACAACTACTTATTTACAGTCGGTTTTATGGATTAATCAATCTTCTTCTCAAGTGTAACATTTATACAGGGATGTAGTTTACAAACGGTAGCTTTTACGTGTTTCTTGTTTCATAGCTGTAAAAACGATTCTTGCGTAAATGCAGAGTGGTCCGGGTTTTTTTTTTACGGGTGTTGTAGTGACACCTATTGATTAGGTTCGAAACAATGAAATACACGCGATCGTGCTTTGTTTCAAAAGATTTAAAATTCTGGAATCAGCGGCGAGATGGTCGTTGGCTGCAAATTTTACTTATGGTGTTTTTGGTCGTGGTAAACGACAAGGAACGCTTTATGCTGATAAGTTATTAGGAGTACAATTTTCCAATGAAGGGGTCAATTAACCCTCTACTGCCCAAGCCCGCCCCCGGCGGGGTAAATTTCAAGAGCTTGGTCAAACAATTGTTTAACAAATGTATACCAATGGTTGGAATGATACACTATGTATTTACCAACATTATTTTAACAGAAAAAAAATGGTCTAGACAAGCTGAATTGATCAAAATCAAAATAATATCCATCAGTTTTGCATATTGCTTTGCAGGTCTTTCGAGAGAAAGCATGCAGAATAAAGCGCAGAATTTTGCCAGTCATTATTTAAAAATTTAAATGGATACAAACGAATGTGTAAAATTTCCCGAATAACGGTGACTATTTGATTATTGTTATTGAACGAAATGTAAAAAGGATGATTATTTAAAAGCAGCAGCATATCAAGAAGACTGGTCACTCTCACGCTTTGTCATACAATCTATATGAGACAAACACGTTCTCGCCATCGAACGAATTGGACAACAAAGAAGTCAACTTCAAAAGACAGAATTGGGAATTTTTACTTATTTTTCTTCGCAGTGGTTCTATCTTTACTCAACTGTATCTGTCCCTTGGATTCCGGCAGACTTGCCAGACTTCTTCTTACGTTGTTTTCGGGGCTAAATTTGAAAGTTTGGAACTCCCAACAAGTTTACTCATACGTACAATTTTTATAAAATCCACTACGCCCATCAGAATGGAACAGGATTCGATGCGTTACATTCCAGGTAAATCTGAACGAATCGGTGACACGCTACACGATCGTTTTATGTAACGTTCACACTAGAGTGTCAACCAACGCACACTGCTTTCAATGAAATGTTTGCCGGTGTCAATTCATATCCAAATAACGGGACAACTGTAAGACGGCCATCATCCATAGCTTGCAGTGCTGAAACGATGAATCAGTTGTGGTGTCTGAATTCCTTAATTGATTTCTTCTTTCTACGTGATATGCGTCATTCATGATCTGTTATCTACCAAGCGGCTCCATTTGTTTTACTGTTGGTCTAGCTAGCATCAATTCCGCTCAACTCGTGCGTTTCCTTTGTAATTTTGATCTTTCCGGGAGATTAGGAACATTTCCGCTTGTGCTAATGGGTAAAATTGCCTCTCACCTTAGGTGCATTCCAGCACGAGTTCACTCATCCAGTAAGACGGGGAAAACTATATTAATGCGCTTACGCTTTTATGTATATACATTGCAAAACCTTTTCTCCTAGCTGTCTGGACCCTGGTCGGGATTCTGGTATTTATTATTACTGTTTTGCTGGCAAATATTCGCATGTCTCACAACGACGACGTCCAGAAAGTTCACTCACCCTTGGAACAAAATCTAATAGTCACGTTCATTAATTGCACCATCCATGCTTCTGTCGCCTTTCCAGTGTCATCATCGTGCTACAAAAACCGCAGTCATTCCCAATAGGTACTCATTGTTCATCTCAAACACACGCACACGAAAGACGGACGTGGAAATTGTTAGCTATCTCTAATTAATTCCTAAACTCAATCAATAGTAAAAATGTCTAACTTTGCTTACTTCCTAAATACACTATCCAGATATAAATCGACTAAAATAACCACAAAAAGGTTCATTCCCCAGTCGCCGCTAGTGGACCGACGGACGTACGACCCGAAATTGCGATGATATATCGTAGGGAATCACATTACCCTCTCAATCCCCCAGGTGATTTACGCGGCGTCAAGTCGCGCGTCGTCGCGCGTTAGATTATTAATCCCTTTGCTGTGAAACATGATGACTCCGGCTGATCTACACATGATCCGGTTATGACGTCGATGATGGTGATGATGATGATGGTGGTGGTGGTTGTGGCGAAACCATTCCCTCTGGGGTTGGCTGGTTTTATCTGTCGTCGCTGATTCGATTGTCGTGTTGTGCTTGCCACTTGAACTTGGACTGCATGAGCCACTGTTGGCCCTTGCTGTACTTGCACGGTCGCAGCAGCGGCGTGGCCGGGTCGTCCGGCGTGGGCCGCGTCAGGCAGTTCCCACTGTTGACGTGCTTGATAGTCTTCTCCTGGAAAAAGAGGAAGAAACGTAATATATTAGTAAGGTTTTTAAAGCATATGGAAAGTTTCACCGTGTGTCACAAAAAGTATTACCTACAGGTTTAGAGTAGGAGTCAGAACCGGCATAGGATGCTTGCCAGGAGAATTTAAATTCTGTTTAGAGCGTAAGGAATTATATACGGTGAGGAATCCTTATTTGGGGTGTTGATTTAACCTGCTATTCGCCAATTGTTACAATTGGAATCTACCGTGTTTGACATTGGCGTTGCCTGGTGGGGGCGAGGTGGGTCGTCCACCCCAAGGGGGTGACACCCACGTGATTTAAATATACTTAACCTTTACGAGAACTCGAGATTCTAAATTCAAATTGCTGCCATTTCATGACTGTAGAACCAAATTTCTTGAAACAACCTCCAAACGATCATAAATTTCAAACTTTCATTGCAGTAGGTGCTCAACTCGAAATCCATTATCCTTACGAGAATAATTTGACATCTACTGGGGTATTCGCTTTTTGTAAGGGAAATCCGTTTTAGAGAATAGGGGTGATTGATTCATTATCGTGCGTTTAAAACAGCGAGATTCCGTTGCAACTTGTGGGTTGAGTTTATCAAACCGGAATAGCGAAACTGGTTTCACCAAGCCCTATTTGAGAACGATTCCATTTTATAGCCTGATGGAGATTATAGGGACAAAATGGATTAAGATTGACTGCCGCTGAAATCCCAATAAACAATATATTTTTCATTTAGGTAATTGGATAACGGGATCCTTTTCGCACAATTTCATTCGGCGCTTGCTATGGTAATACTTGTTTTGAACCTATTCCACTCCAAAATTTCATGAAAGATGGATACCAAAATGAGCTCAAAACATGCGCCTGCTTTATTTTCGGTCTTTAAACTAGTGTAAACAACTTTCTAAATATTCTATACATCGTAAACAGTCTCTCAAAATGGATTTAAAAATTACACATATTTAACATATGAGGCTTATTTGACCCCACCAACTCCTATAAATTTCCCAAAGCTCAATTGGAAAACTGCTTTCTTTTTCTTTTCTTTATTTAACGTCGGTCTCTGTTCCGCAATCTAGTGCCAATCACCGACGGACATCGATTGTCATCCATTGACGAATGTGCAAGAAGGCAGCTTCCCAGCTGCGTAGGATATCGCACCCATGCAACACACATGGGTCGAGACCAACGGCTTTACTACCCATCCGAAGGAAGACGTGACCAGAGATTTTTATGCCTCAGAAACATCCCAGAGACCTCGACTGGGATTGAACCCAGACCCAATTTGAAAACATAATTGGTAACTTCTACTAGAATAAACTGACTAATTAAATTATTAAACGCGTTTACATAATGAGTGGCAAAAGTGCCAAAAGCGTTACCGTGCCGTGCGTAAGACGAATCAATTTTTGGGCTTTTTCCACTAAGAAAACATATATTTCATATATAACATATTCCTCGAATAAATTTTCAAAGGGACGTATCAGCTTTTGTGAACAATGCATTTGACACCTATGCATACTACCAACACTAACAGGTAGGGGACTATCAAGTGGTGTTAGTATGCGTGGGCGAGTTACCAGTTACGTCAATTCAACGATCAAATGCATTGTCCACAAAAGCTGATACATCCCTTCGAAAAATATTTCGTATATTTTTCCCAGAAAAACCTTATTTTTGTCTAAAACTAAAATTGTGAATCATTGTCGATGAAAAACAATTATTCAAAGTTGCATGTAAATCGGAGAAGGTCGAGTTTTTTCGATTCATCATTTGACATGGAACTGCTCATATCAACAAAACATGTCGTAGCAACTATACAAGGTGTGGAGAACTAGCTCTCACGTAGGTGTTGGTAGAGGGAAAAATGTAAACATTGCGGGAGACGATAGTGACGACGTTCTAACACTCCAAAGCAACTTTGCGAAATATCAGACCCCCTTCACTCTTTGGAATTTAAAGAGACAGACAACAGCGCCAAACGGTTTGTGACGAGTCAACGTTGAACTGCAGCGTTGGAAGAAAACACTCACACCAACATCTAAACATGTACGAACCCACACAACTGAGCAACAGCGCAAATCAAAACACGAAGCGGTGTCATCACCCATCGTCATCATTCAGCTTCGGCTACTTCCGTTTGCGTTTGCTTTCACCGGCGTTGACAAATACTTCCTACGTTATAAAATAGGAAAGTAATGATTATTCCAACGTAATTTTCTGAATAGAATGCGTGCTGCATTGGCCAAAGAAGACGGCACATTTTATTACGTTTAGCAATGATTTCGTTACGTTGCATTTCCAGTGGCTGGGGTGTTGGAATAATTCTTTAGAGAGAGTGAATGTTTTTCCCATGTTTACTTCTATGCTTATTAAGATTATTTTGAGCACCAGCTCCGTAAATCATCAATTACTATTAGAGATTTGCATCTTACTGATACCGGTGGTATATTGGAAACTCTTTCGCTCGAAAGCAAAAAATATTACAAGCATGATGCGCGCTTGGATGTGTGGTTGTTTTCTCAAGTGTTTCTGTTGCGTATAAAGTGGTAATAATTGACAATCGGAGCAATCACAAACAAGTAAGAATCTTGCTATCGCAATAGAATGATGATGACTTCGAGGATGATATCGTCCTCTTTCCTCGTCCGGGTTGACATCTGTCATACTGACACCTGTCAGTTATTGAGCCCTGGTGGTGAAGTTGGCGGGGAACTCCCAACAGTTTCAATGTGCACTCAACAGATGGCACTGCGATCACATAAGGGTAGTCATTATATGCCTTGTATGAAGAATTGATTAGTGGGATATCTTCTTAATTAGATATCTTTGGAAATATGAAGTAAAACAAATCCTAGCTATGTTTGCATGAGGCTTGCGCTAGGTGGTATTATTTTATAAAGTCGCCTGGAAATATCAGCTGCCGTTTTGTATCTTTATGATAACTCCTTACTTGATAACGGGTAAAAACTCACCGACAGGCTGCTTTTTCATGGTATACAGTGTGTTTGTGCAAAGCGTCTAGTACATGATCAAATTACCCTATTATTTGTAGTAATGTTTGTATCCACGCACAGGTGTCGTTAGTGGTATACGCAAGTGTTTTGCCATGCGTCTTGCTCTGTAATACAGTATACTGTTTTGTATAGTAATGAATGATGAACGACAATAAATAAATGATATAGTTCGTATGCCTCCACCATGGCAGGACGGCCAGACAATCGTTCGTCTTTTATTTCTATGATTGTAAAATAACACAACGTAGGCAAAAGTCCTGCCCGTGCGCGATCACAGTGTGATAATACAATAATCAATAAATTATGTCAACATACAGTGGAAGAACATTCATACATTTTTGTAACATACAGAAATTCTATAATCCATATTAAATTTCCTATGCAAACGCTGATCGAAACAAACGATATGTCGTCACTAATAGGGTGAGTGAGCGAACGAAAGATACGAAGTGCACCAATACATTCAGCCCTTCAATTCCACACCTTGTATAGACCAGGTTGATGTCGTAGGGCATTTCAAACTTAATGATTTTGAATGATCAAGCTGATCATTATAAATATTCTGCACAAATTGACGTGGTCACTCAAGGACATCTGGAAAAGGTTCCGGCAAACCTTTTTGGGGCTGTCCATAAACTGCGTAGACGGAAAACCCCTCTCCGATCTCCCTGCGCACACAGTAGGGTGGTTAAAACAATCCGTTTTGATCCACCCAGCTTAATCGATTCTAATTAAGGTTCTGATCCTTCTTCCAAAATTTGAGCTCATTTGGTTATGATTGTTTGAAGTTTATAACCATTCAGCATAATGATTTATTCGTTGCTTTCTCTACACATGTGAATTTTTCTCAGCTATAACTTTGCTGAAGACCGTATTTTGATCAAACGCCTGGATAATTAATTATTAGTTCATTAGGAACATGAAAAGCTCTGAAAAACTCCATCAACTGATCAGCAGGGAACATTTTCCCTAAAAAATGTATATTTTATTAGACCGGCCCAAAAAAATAAAGCTTCTAATTTTCCATAGGCCAACCACTAGATTTGTTTAGGTAAGAAAACCATTCTCTTAGAGTTTCAGCTCATTTGGTTGCAAGATGAGCTGGTGCTTTTAGTATGAATTTTATATGGGGAATTTGGATAAAATCGAAGACAACATATAAAGAAGACTGGCAACTTCCATTTTCTCAAACGACCGGCATAAGACAAGCACAATCGCGTCATATGCCGCTCAAAGGGAAATGCTCCGAACGAATTGGATAGCAAAGGTTCCATCCTCAGAAGAAAGGTTTGTGCATTTGCTCATTTTTCTATGCGTTGCTTCCACCTTCGCTCGAGCACAGCGCTACTGTGTCTGTCGCTCGGATCCAGGTAAAGTTGCCGGTCATTGATAAAATACATGAACATATTACATCCCAAAACTTCTAGTTCAAACACTGAGTAACAATTTTGCTGATGACTGCATCATGAATGCAGTTTGTTTTATTGAGATATTCGTTTTTGAATGTATATGAGCATTTTATTAAAAATTTAACCAAATCCCCTATATAAACATTAAACCAACAGCGCCAGCCCGTATTACGTCAACCACAGTTGAAACATTCAGAGAGTGGTTATCTCACACTAGTATGGATGTTGGCCTGTGGAAAATATGATCTTTTATTTTTTAGTGTTTTTTAGTGACCTTTACCCCACCAGGTCTCAACAATTTCCCTTTGAAGCATTATCCTTCACAGAGTTTTCCCTCAAATAATTTTTAGATTGTTTTTCGTATTCACTTCAGGAATTCTCGTCACTATATTTTTGATCGTCTTTAGATTTTCTTCGAATGCTTAAAATAGATCGCTGAAGACTTCCATATTTATATTTAAAATTCCCAAACAATCACCATTAAAATTTTGCTCAAAATCATTGTGGAGTTCTCATCAAAATTCTTATGAAAATTTTCTTAGATATTTCTCAACATATTAATGGAA